TCTACGGGTTGACACAGGTATTGTACACAGGTAAGGTGGGGAACTAGGGATCGAGCCCTGGGATCTGCATCAGTTACTGCAAACTGGTGAATACCGTTTCACTCCCGCCGGCCTAAATTCGAGGTCCTCCGAGAAAATTTCAGTCCAAGGCAGGACCTTTACCTTTCTGTTGCCTCTCGTAGGCCCGGACTATATTGGGAGCTGTCTCTAGAAGTTCGGATCTCGTAAACCAGCGGTCGTCTTCCAGCTCTTGATAACTAAAATGAACCTTGTACTGTTTCTGTGGACGACCTCTCTCTACAGTCCTGAATACATCTTCAGCCACTATGCCATCGATGTCATACCTTCCATCCATATCTGGTGGGATCATAGACCTACGGGATGGAAACTGATCATTTGTTTGACAAGGTAACAACTTCGATGCATGGAAAACTGGGTAAGTGTGGAGGTGTGCTGGGATTTCTATGGTATAGGACGGTCCATCTTCGTCGCCCTTGACTTCCAGAACCGGCCACGGGCCTCTATACGTAAGCAGTAACTTCTGCGAAATATTCTCTTCAGGCGCAAACTCTTTAGACTGGACCCAGACTAAGTCGCCTACCTGAAACTGTGAAGGGCGACGGTGCTTGTTCGCCTGTTCAATCATGCGGTGCTGGGCTTTCCTGAGATTCTCAACAACAGTTGCTATCTCTTTCTCGTGCTGAATCGCAAACTTCCTTGTACCGGGCGGTAGCCTATGAATCTGATCCCGGTTAAGCCCTTCAAATGGTCTTCGTGGTCTAAAAGACTTATGGAGCTCGTTGGGAGTGCGGCAGGTTGACAGGTGCAGGCTGTTGTTGTATGCGCTGGCTACCTTGGGCAGCATCTCATCCCAATTGACTTGATCCGGTCTAATGTACATGTGCAGGACTTGCTGCAGGATCTTGTTCATCTGTTCGGTCTGACCGTTCGTCTCTGGATGACGGCCAGATGACATCAACAACTTGGATCCGTAGACTCGCATCAATTCCTGCCAGTTTAGACTTGTGAACCGGGTATCTCTATCGCTAACTATAGACAGCGGAACCCCGTGTTCACTGACCCAGTGATCAAAGAACTTCTGAATTACTAATTTTGTTTTGGCTTCTGACGGGAAGGGAACAGAAATAGCATACTTACTAAATCTGTCTACCACGACCATAACTTGGCTCTTGCCATGTCTACTCTTAACGCCGGTGTCCATGAAGTCAATGGACACTGAATCTCCCGACTGATCAGGGATAGGTAAAGGTCTGAGAAGGCCTAGAGGGGCACGCGTAGTGGACTTATTTCGCTGGCAGACTTTGCAACTGCGAACGTACTCTATGCAGTCATTTTTCATTCCTGGCCAGGTGTACGCGTGCATCAGGTTGGCTAAAGTCTTCTGCCAACCAAAGTGTCCCTCGGTGTCGTGACATTCCCCCAAGATCAGACTCCGTATCTCTTCACTGTTGGGGACACACAAACGGTCTACCACGTTAGTCTTCTCAAACAACAACCCATCAGTAGTCCGGTAATATGGCTCGGACTCTGGGGCTTCCTTAACTCTCTTAAGGATCTCACTATAGATGGGGTCCTGCGCGTACGCCTCTTTAACTTTTTGTTGTAGGTCTGACCCTATATCTAGATAATAGACTATGGCCCCAAAGTAATCAGCTCTCCTACTCAGAGCGTCCGCAAATACGTTATACTTCCCTTTGACCGGCTTGAGCTCAAAGTCGTACTGATCTATTTCTGTGGCCCACCTAGTAAGCTTAGGTGTCATCTTGGCCTGCGTCTTTAACCATCGCAAGGTCTCGTGGTCAGAATAGACTTTGAAGTGCCTCCCAAGCAAGTAATGCTTCCAGTGCTCCAATGCTTGCCGGAGAGCGTAGAGTTCCCTCTCATAGGTAGATGTCGCAACCTTCTTTGAAGGCATCCTAGCGGACATGAACTCTACGGGTCTATAACCATTGCCATCGTCTTGCTGCAACACAACACCTATGCCGTACTGGCTCGCGTCCGTAGTAACGACAAAGGGCAAGGACGGATCGGCTACCTTAAGGACTGGGTACTCTATTAATGCATGCTTCAACTTCTTCATGGCAGACGTGCAGTCCTTATCCCACTTCCAGATGGCCTCCTTCCTGAGCAGTCTGCGAAGGGGCGCATCGATAGTGGAGAAGTTCCTCACGAACTTCCTATAGTAGTTAGCTAAGCCCAAGAATGACCGCAGCTCTGTTAGCGTACGTGGCGTGGGCCAATCTCTAATCGCTGCGATTTTGCCGTCTTCTGGCTTAACGCCGTCTCCGTCTAAGATGTGGCCTAGATATAGGACTTGGGTCTTCGCCCAATCGCACTTCTTTGCATTGATCTTGAAGTTTGCTTCTCTCAGCTTTTCCAAGACCTGCCTGAGATGACCCTGATGTTCTTGGAGGGTCTTGCTAAACAGTAAAATGTCATCTAAGTAGACAACAACAAATCTATCTAACCATGGCCTAAACAAATCGTTCATGCAGCGCTGGAACGTCGCTAACGCATTGGTTAGTCCAAAGGGCATCACTATGAACTCATAGTGCCCATATCTAGTCTGGAAGGCTGTCTTATACTGATCATCAGGATGCACCTCTATCTGATGATATCCGGAGTTCAAATCTATCTTTGACAAGTACTTCGCCCCCTGCACTCGATCCAAGAGATCGTTTATCCTAGGCAGTGGCTCAACATTCTTCATTGTAACTGCATTCGGGCCCCTATAGTCTACACACATCCTCAACTCTCCCTCTTTCTTGGGGACAAAGAGAACAGGCGCTTCAAATGGAGATGAACTGGGCCTAATCCAACCCTTCTCAAGGAACTCGTCTAGTTGCTTACGAAGCTCCTCTAACTCCCGCGGGGACATCCTATACACCGCACCCTTAGGAGTTTTACTGCCAGGCTCTATCTCAATGCGATGCTGGATGGGCCGCGGTACTACTCCTGTCGGCGGCTCAGCTAGATCTTTAAACTCCTCCAGCAGTTTGGCAATAGCAGGGTCTATAGGCTTCTCTTCCTTAGGCTCAGTCACTGGCCTAACATAGGCTACAAAGACTTGGTTCTTCTAGGTGCTCTTTCTTCACGAATCTCGCGAATGCAGGTGCACTAAGGTAGCAATGTGCCAGGGGATTCTCTACTCCTGACACATGGAACAGGCGGGCAGTCTTAGCCTCGCCTGAAGGACTAGGGAGCTTACACTCGTGCTCTTTCAAATGGAGTGTGGCCCCGGCTGCCTCTCCCCAATCCATTCCCAGGACAATATCGAATGGGAGGCTGTCTTCTACGAGGAGAGTCAGGGAGTGGAGGACCTTCTCCAGTTTCCCATTTTTCTCTAGGCGGAAATACGCCTGGACTCCCTCTACATAATCCTCTACAATCTTTGTACGATTGTCTGCGAGGATACTAACTATAGGGTCTGGTAGCTTTTGGACCTTAAGTCCCAACTTCAACTTCTGCAGCGCTTTTCTACTAATATAGTTGCGGGTAGCCCCTGAATCTACTAGGGCCCCTACTCTACCTCTAAAAATCTCTACATCTACCAATATTAGTTGCCCCTTCTGTTCTTTCTTCATCTTGGCCCAGGCGGGCATCCTCTCCTTCAATTCTTCAACCACACCTGTGAGGGAGGTGTCTAAAGAGACCCTGACACAAGCAGTCTTTGGACAGCTATCTAGACACCGGCCTGCAACCTCTGCCATAGGCACATGTGGTGTGGGAGTCTCCTGCCGGCTAGCGCTATGTTCCCCACATGGCCTTGTGGTAGGGGCAGTTGCCCCCTACCAGCGGCTGCCTTTTGTCCCTTGAGCAGCCGTCCGGGTCTCTCTATACTTAGGACAGTATTTAATGATATGGCCCGGGTCACCGCAGAAAATGCACTGGCCCCGGTCCAGACGTTGTTGCCATAAGCTCTGGTCCGAACCCAAACTTTCCCAAGGCTTACCCTGCGGTAGCCCTGGGTGCCATCCGCCTACCCTATAGGGAGACCTATTCCTAGGACGGTTTTGCGGGGGACCTTGACCCCTTCCTCCCGCTTGGCGGTTTCCTCCTCTGCCGCCAACCCCCTGATCGCCCTGAAACCGGCTCCCTGAGGCCCGGCCCCCTTGGCTCTGGCCTCGCCCTCCTCCTTGCGGCCTCCCTCCAGCCGCGACAGCAGCGTAAGTTCTCCCCTGACTCGCACCGCTATCCTCGTCCTCTAACCCCCATTCAATTTGTTCATAGGGGATCTCGTCGACGCTACCTTCGTCTAAGGTCATGACAAGACTATCCTTAGTCTTAACTTGCCCGGAGATCGTGCGACCTTTCCATTGCTTTCCTTTGTCAAGGTCTTTGTGCCAGAAGGTAGAAAGCGACACCGACTTCTCTTCGAAAGCCACCACTTCACGGCTAAGGGAATCATAAGTGGTGGCAGGGTCTTCGCTCTTCGCGAAGAACTGCCCTCGAAAGGCTTCGGGCATAGCCCGATAGAAGAGGCCGACCAATTGGGCCTCCGTGACTCCATGGTCGGGGACAGCCACTAATTCATCCATCGTGCCCTTGAGTGCCCTGACACTCTTCCATTTACGAGCATGGATGGTTTGGAGCTTATCTGAGGCCTTGACACTGCGAGCGACATCAGCGAATCGTTCGCTCAACAATTTCATGAAGTCAATGAGGGGAGTGAATGACGAATAGGCCACTGCATCGTTGTTACAGTTGGCTGCGCGGACTAGGGACCTTGCGAAACTGGCGGCCTCGTCTCTGAGCGCATGAATCGCAATCAACACGTGTTGATCTGGGGAGACTTGTTGCAGATGCACATAGGTCTTGACGTTGGCCTCCCAATTGTCAAAGTTCTCTTCCCTTTTTCCACTGTAGGAATCAGGGAATTTGACTTTGACCGGCTCCCTACGAGGACGCGCTTCTTCCTCCTTGGGAGCTGCCACCTTGACGCCCTCGATGGCGCCCACGCAAAAGCGCTCGGTCTTCTCGAGGCGATGATTCACCTCGGCTCCTACAACACCTACCAGCTCGCAGGCAAAGTCCCAAAATCCCATCCGCATCGAACGCACAGCTATATCCTGGCTTCGACTAAACTCATATTGTTGTTCTTGCACTCTGGGCGATGATCTCTACCTTTTGTTGGAGGTCTACCTGAGGGGTCAATCGTAGAGTTAGTTTTTGCACCTCCTCCAGATCCTTAACCGCTTCACTCGCCGCGTCCACTCTTTTCTTCTTCTCCCTCATCATTGCGAGTTTCCACWCCATCCTCGTTTCATCTTSCATCGCCTGCYGCTTCAGRACATCTTCTTCTGCTWCCCATTTYYTCATAGCGKCYTYCTGCTCATCCTTGGGGATATACATAGTTACCTCTTTGTCTTCGCCCAGGGATAAGTTGGCGACCCACTCCGAAATCCGTTTCTCCATCTCTTCATCCTTGCTGCCACTGTGTTGCCCTCTCCTCCTTTGCAGTGGCGGTTCCTCTTCTTCTTCCTCTTCCACCTCCTTTAACGTCTCCTCTTCTTCCTTCTTCAACCTCTCTTTTTCTCTGGCCATCTCCTCCTCTATCGTTTTCAACTTTGCTGCCTGCTCCTCCTGCGGGGCCTTCTTCTTGGCCTCCTTCTCTTTTCTCTCCTGCAGGATGGCGGCCATCTTCTCCTCCTCCTCCTTCGTGTAAGGTGTAGTGGAGGTGCCGCCCCGGGTGCCTACTCTACACGTGAGCRTGGGCCAGAATCCYAGKGGGAAGAGGAGACGCCAGAGGGTCCCCCACAAGGAGAACCCAACAAGTAACCCATACATCGGATAGTCATCCATGGTGGTGTCAGGTGCACGACAAGGAGTCCCACTCCTCACCACTTAGACCTACCCGCACACTGCCACACTAACTGACTCTCTAGGGACCACAGGGTAAACCCCTGTCAACTATGGTCACTATCCCAGACCTACTCTAAGGCTGTCAGTACTGAACCAACAGCTGATTAGGAGGCATTTAAGGAGATCCCCCGTAACTCCTCAAGATTCTTTAACATCACAGTCAGGACGACGTGATCAGTGTGGTTCTTGCCTGTGCTTTCAACCCACAACTCAGCCTTCCGGCCTACTGTGCCACACCGAGCAGCCCACCGGTCTGTACCGGTCCTTGGGAGGGTTCGTATCCCCCGGGACAGTCGAGTCGTCAGATACAGATCATCAGCCTTACTAGGTCCGGTAGGGGAGTGGTTCAAACAGGCCCTCAACACTTAAAGACTGCCTGGTGTGTCAGCCTTAGCTGCCGTTCAGGCCCACTGAGTCCTACCAACCGTTTCCAGCCGGTCAGCACCGGTCCTTGGGAGGGTTATGCCCCCCTAGAAAGTTGGATCAGCCACAGCCTCAGCCCTACAAGGTCAGACTGAGGTTTCGTCATCCAGACCTATCTTTCATGCACAGAGTACTATCACCTAGGACAGAAGAGACTCAATGCAGAAAGAAGAGAGAGACAGACTCAAATTCAGCAAGTACCGTCGGGTGAGTGCACATCCACAGGGTGAGGGGGTAGGCTAAGGGCTTGGCGAGATATTACCAACTCCAGCTTGGTCAAAGTCTTGGTCAACAGCGCCGGTCAACTCCTCGGTCAATGCTGGGTCAACGCTCCAAGACCCCGGTCAACACCTCGGTCAACCTTCCGGTCAACGCCCGGTCAACCCTCCGGTCAACTCTCCGCCTCGGCTATGGCTGCCGGCACCTTCTCCTTCACCACCCTTGTCTCCTTCTTCCTCCTCCTTCACCTTCTTCTTCCTCTCTTTTTTTTTTTCTTTTTTTGTCACCTCGGCTATGTTTGTCTTCTTCTCCAATACCCCTTCCTCTATCTCTCTCCTCGGTCCCTCCTTCTCTGTCCCCTTCGTCACTCCGTGATGCAGCTCCGTGGCTATGGCCGCTTTCTTCCTCCTTCGTGGGTCTGCGCAGCAACTTCACAGGTACGTAACAGCCAATCTTGTATCATAGCGGGAACCAGCTCCGATACCAGTGCAATCAGACTCGACTCTTTCACACTTTTCATGCATGTGAACAGTAGCACGACAAACTGGCGACATGCACCCACACAGTACACAGAGATATGGC